CCCATGTTCCTATACGTATATCGGTTAATGGTGTGCAATTTCCTATTTGAGAATTTAGATCAAGTATCTCGTATTTATAAGCAGGGGGCGTGGCCAAGAAGCAACCAGCTGACTGCCCCCTTCCACTCAGCTGCTTTTCTTCGCTGTGTGAACAAGGTCTTAGTATGTATGGGCATTTTGGGCGGGTCATAATAAGTCACTGGTCGAAGGTTTAGACCAATCACAATTCATCACCATCTTGCCCGCTTCCAATTGATGACTGGCTATTATATAAGTGTTGACCTAAGCCCCTATGCTGGGGCTCGGCTCCCGAACTGTACGTGAGCTACCTCGTACGGCTTTTCCTAAGAACTTGAAGTCCCCTCTTTCTAAATAGAAAAAAAAATGCATTTATAAGACAAAAAACACATTTTCAAAAAGCTTTCGCCCTCCTATGACTATTATTATCAGGTTATTAGAGAAGCAATTTCGTTCCTTGACTTTTAATATATACATATATTATGTAGACATTAATTTTATATAAAAATACAATGATAAAATATATATTCATATATATATTTTAAAAAAATTTAAAAATTAAAATAAAATTTAAAAAATATTTTTTTTTTCTATCTTAATTAGGGGTAAAATTTTTTAACTCAACATGATGATACAACTCGAATTCGACATGAATTTTATGACACGAATTTGATTATAACTCGATACGAACTTGAAAATAACTTGACACGCGAACAAGAAATATAAAAGACTCAAACTCAAAATTGACATCATCAACCTGTTTATTTTAAAAAAAACATTTTCTCTATTTTCTTATTTGTATGATAACACGAAACTAACATTTTTAACTAATATTATAAACATAAAATGTTAATTATTTATAACTATTTATTAATCACTGACATAATTATTATATAAAAAAGATATTTTTACTTATTATTATTATATTTATTTAATTTATTTTTTAGTTTGTAAAAAAAAATATTAACGTGAATTCAATTAAGTAAAAATAGAATATTAGCGTTAAATTTTTTATTCAAAATTTATGAGGGTCAACATGAATACAAATACGACATAAAAATAAACAGGTCAACTTGCAACTCAACACGACACAATTAGTTAAATGATTTGAGTTCGATTTGACTAATGTTCGACACAAACTCGTAAAAACTCAACACGAATTTGACACAACACAACTCAATTGTCACCTCTAATCTTATCCAGCAAAAAAAAAAAAAAAAAATTTAGTCATTTTTATTTTTCATCCATCTAACAAAACTAAAAGGGAGGAAAGTGTATCATTCTTATTTTTCTTCCTTAAATGATAGAAAATGTATCTCTTCTACTTTTCATCTTTCCTATCAATTGGAGCATAAATATTAAAACATAGACATGTGATATTGGAATTGGGTTTTGTTGAAAAATTAAAATAAAGAGTGAAACTCGACACAAATTAATAATTACCCGTTTATATANTAATATTGGAGTTGGGTTTTGTTGAAAAATTAAAATAAAGAGTGAAACTCGACACAAATTAATAATTACCCGTTTATAAGTAGATAAATATTTATTTTTCTTCCATATAAGTCAATAACTATTAAAGTGAAGTTTATTTTACATGTTTATTGTTTTATTATTAGTTGCTGATATCATGTCATTAATACTAACATGGTATTACGGTTGTATTGAATATGGGTCTATTTGAGATGAAATTAATTCACTCTCTAAATTTAAGAATTGATTGAAAATAGAAAGCTAATGTAGATTTGACCTTTGGCTGTTGACAAAGACCTATTCGGTTCATATTTACGGTATTAGCAATCTTAACCAAAACTGCATGGAACTTTTTCCCCTGAATGTAGAAACTATCTCTATCATCATCACCACATTACTATTTTTGAAACACCCACGCATCTATTAATAGAACCCAAATACTAGACTATTAGATTTTGAAATCAAATTGGATGATCTAAATAATACTATTGAATGGAACAATTAGGCTTTTGAGACCTTTATGGCTTGTTTGGTATATGAGTATGGATGGAATTTGATGGGTTGAGTTTTACAAAATAGTCCAATCGACTTATTTTATTCTGGTTTAATTGGATCTTTTAGGCCTTGGAAATGAAAGCTTCCACATCTGAGGCCTGCATTAACAATAAAATTAAAGGAAATTTGGAAGTCGGTTCTCTTATATAGACTTGTTTAGACTTAAGTCCGTCAAAAAAATTTATTTGTTATGAAGTCCGTTTTTTGTCAATTTTACCATATTATTCATTCCCTTTAAAAGTGAAATAAAATTAAAAATTAAAAACTTTTAAATCTTAGGAGTTTAACTAACATTAACATTAGATATGAGAGAAAAAAGATTAACTTCCTTTTAAGAAAGGGTATTTTCGAAATTAAAAAAAAAAAAGTGAACTTAAGTTATTACATATAATTTTAAACATGAACTTAGCCCCTTATAAATTTTCTTACAGGACTTATCTCTAAACAAGTACATCTAGGGGAACTCACTTCTAATTTTCACTAAAATTAAACCCACATATATGGATTTCATGAAGCTAAAAAGGGTGACTTTCAATTCACTATCCAAAGAATTTATTGGTGAAAAAATAAGTTTATCCAAAATGAATAAAAAGATATTATATTCTTAAGCATATAAAGTGAAAAAAAAACATATGGGATAAGATTAAAAAAAAAAAAAACACTCAATCGTTGAGTCCAACCATGCTTACTACTAATTCAGTGGGTTTGAGGTTCCTCCCAAATCATTTGCGCCAGACCCTGATGAAATTCAACAAAGTCCAAGGATAAAAATTGGAAAAACACAAAAAAGTGTATATTTTGAAAAAATCATACCTGCTTCTGTATTATCAGACGCAGGCATAGCCCTATTAGCCGGCTTTTATAATAAATTCTATTTGTTTTCGGCCACTTTGGATTGTAGGACTTACTTCCTAACCCCGGTGAGAATAGTGGCTATTTGTATGAATAAGTCAATTTGAAAGATCGAAAGTAGTTCTTCGTGCACTAAATACTTAATTTATTGAATTAGACGCGACATGCATAAGAGTACATATTACTCAAGTCTGATACATCAATTGTCTACTCAATACTCTTGTACGAGTCCACAATCATTACATAAGTTGAACTGGGTTGGATTTCATACTCCAATCCTATCATTGAGTTATTAATTCATTTGGTTTGATACTCCTCCCAAATCATTTGGTCTAAACTTAGGAAGGACGGATACGAATACATGATATGAGAACGATACGATACAGATACGGTAATACGACAAAATTTTTTAAAAAATGATACGAGTACGCCTAGAATACGCCTATACTAAAATATATTTTATATTTTACTATTATTTAACGACTTAAAAATTATAATTTTTATTAATTTTTTAACATTAGTAAGCAAAATTGATAATTTTTATCTTTAAAAGGATATAATATCGTCTTGTTATGATATATTCATAAAATGAGCATGATCAAGTGAAGGAATCATAACCACATTTAACTAGTTGGTGTGTTTAGAAGTATTTATTTTTAATATTATAGTGTAAGTGACTCATTTTTTTTATACTCTCTTAACATATAATAATAAATAATATTTAAAAAAACACTCGTGTTTTTAAAATCAGATGAAATTTTGTTGATGTTTTATATTGTATGTGAACTCCAAAGAAAAGGGTATAACTTAAAATTGAAAATTATACATCTTACTTCATGTTTAGAAGTATCCATGAAATATTTACATATTTTATTAATTATCGAATACGGATCAAGTATCGTATCCGATACAGGTACGTCGATTTTGACAAAGAATTCGTGCTTCATTGGTCTAAACCCTAAGGGACTGTTTGGTAAAAAAGTATGAGAGACTTGGTAAGGTGGGTTTGAGAAAAAAAAGTCTAAAGTTTTCCTAAATCTTATGTTTGTATGAAAAATTCAGTCTCGGACTTTCACACTTGGCTCATAATTGGGCTGAAGTTTAAACCCACGATCATAGGTTTCGTCCAACCTACAGGGGAGGTAGGTTTGGAAAGATGGTTAAAAAGTTAAGGATCCAGAAGACAATGTATCTCTTAACATGGGTATGAATTGAATTGATCAAGGGTAAAATAGTTAATTATGTGACAAATAATTATCAATAATTATGATATATCAATGAGTCCTACATATGCGTGTATTTACTAAACATGAGTATGATATTATGAATAGAGGTGTCCATGGGTCGTATCGGGCTAGGCCAGAGAAATTTTTTTCAAGCGGAACTTCAAGTAGGGGTAGGCTATCTACAACCCAATCAACGAGCCTATTAGGCGGGCTTGCTCGTGAATTTTTTTATATACAACTTCATTTAAAAATAATAGATATTTTGTAACTTAATATTTGTGTAAATTATATTTTAAAATTAAAAATAAAGTTAAAATAGATAAAAATAAAATAATGAATTATTTTATTTTTAATTAAGAAATGAACCATATCTAATAAAATGAATACATCTCAACTAAATTGACACATATTCACTTATTTATTATTTGCATCATTTTACCCTTTAAAACTTATATATTTAATACCTAAAAAATAAAATAATATATTATTTATAGTATCTAAATTTTTAAAACTTTAAATTTTGATACTTTGAGACTTATTTTAAAATTTTAAATTAAATAGTCTAAAAGTATAATTCTTTTTCAAACGAAGGTAGATGAGTTGGACTTGTGGGCCGGATCTTGGGCCAGGTAATAGGTTTGAGATAAACCCAAGCTTTTTTTTAAAATATATTAGGTTAGAGCAGATTAATTATCGAATCTATCAAATTTAGGATATATTTTTTCGGGCCGGAGACCACAACCCGTGGATAATTCAACCAATAGACACCGAAAACACAAAAGAGCGTATACGTAGAAGAAACCATCCCCGTTTCTGTACATATAAACACAGACAGATACACCATATATATATCGCCCTCTCTCCTCTCTCCTCTCTCCTCTCTCTCTCAAACACCTCTCCTCCTACACTGCTTCATTACCCTCTCTCTCTCTCTCTCGGTTTTTGGCTTTTCTCTACATTGAACACCACCTTTGTTTCAGTGTCTAATCTCTCTTGAAAATCTTCATGAACAAACTATCATGGACAAAGCGCCTGCGAAGTCTCGGCCTCTTCACAACTTCTCACTACCGTTCTTGAAATGGGGCCACAAGAACCACAACAACACCAACCACCGCTTTCGCAGACCCTCCGAGTCCAGTCACAGCTCACCGGAGCACCACCGATCATCGCCTCCGGAACCGGAGTCCGAGTTCGAGTCTGAGTCGGAGAAACGGAATAAGCCTCCGGTCGAATCGCGAATCACACGGGACAACCGATTCTCATTCTCTCCATGCTTGTTGCATAAACAACAAAAGAACCCAGTGGTTTCAGAGAGAGAATTTAAGAACGAAGCCGATGGAGATAAGTCTTGTGGTGATGGTGGCGAAGGAGAGGAATTGGTGGCGAAGCCGTGGAATCTGAGGCCGAGGAAGGTTGCGACGAAGGTAGCGGCGGAGGAGATCGGAACGGTGTCGTTGAAGAATGGTAAATCTCAGGAACGGGTTTCTACGGTTCTTGCTATTCCTGCAGTGACGGAGGTTGAGAATCTTCCGAAATCGCTCAGGTTGAGAGGTTTTGTTGAAGGACAGGGCTCGGAGAAGAAGGAGAAGAGGAAGTTGTGGATTTCGTTGTCGAAGGAAGAGATTGAAGAGGACGTGTACGCATTGACTGGAGGGAGACCGTCTCGGAGGCCCAAGAAGAGACCGAAGAATGTACAGAAATTTGTCGATGTAAGCGATCGATCTCTTGTTCTTGTTCTCTTCCGTCTGTGCTTGGTGTATGTGTGTGCGTGTTGTCCTGTGGTTTTGATTGTATGTCTTGCGAGTTTGCAGAATCTTTTCCCTGGCTTGTATTTGGTAGGGGCTACAGCTGATTCTTATCGAGTTCATGAAGCTCCGGTATAGGTTTTGTTTCTCTCTACCCCCACCCACCTCCTTTCTCTATGTTTGATGAATTGAACTGACAAATTTAATCTTGTCGTCTCTCACGGCCGGTGAGTTTACTTAACCAGTAGATCAAAGTAAAAGAAGTCTACTCTTGGTACTTACAGGGGTGAATAGGATATTATCTGATGAAGCTGAATTCTGCAAACTCTGGCAAAGGTCCTCTCTGTGCGCGTGTCTGTTTTCTGAGGTTTGTGGACAATTAAGGAGATTGTTATGATGACAAGCAATTGGAAGCGGGGAAAGCCTGCTTTTTGGTACATTGAGCCTCAAGTGGAGGTATAATGAACTGAATTATGTTTGTAAAGGGGGAGGAGATTTATCATCAAAAATAGAAGTATATCTAATTTTCCAGCTTCACATTGTACCGTGCATCAGCACATCCTTTAGGTAGCATAGTTTAGTTGTTTTTCTTCGTTAGTAGTGATGTAAACATGTATGCGAATATGGATTAACAGAGATAGTTTGATTGTTTTTTCATTGGTTTCAATGCAATGTCACTGGTTGCGTTCTTCTTGGTGAAATCTGTGAGCATTCTTGTTTTGACTATTTTCATAATGTGACTTGACAGGCTTCCCGACTCTGTTTGGGGGCAGAGCTTATTCATGTAGTTAGGTAGCAAACCTGAAATCAATTCAAGAAATAAAGAATGGAGGGGCTGCTGCTTCCTTAGTTTGGAAGGACTCTTCCACCCCAAATCAGCTTCAAGGAGGAACAATGATGAGGTTGAAAGTATTTATGTCTACATTCTTTCTTCTTTATCTACTGGAGAAAGGTTATGGGATATGTTTCAACTTTTCCCATAGGATATGTGCACTTTGGCACCTAATTAAGTGTATGGGATATGAGTTCAACACTTCCATCAGATATGAAGCTAGAGGCGCAGGTAGCCATTCAAGTTTACTGCATAACTTTGGCATAAAACTCTATTTGTCATGTTCCTTTTGTTACACAACTGCTTTAAAATGAGTTGAATCTCCATTTCAAACCTAGTTACACGGCACACCATTTTACCAGAGGAACAATGGGAAACATACTTAAAATAGAATAATTTCCTTTAGTTGCATGATTAGATAAATATAACAATTCGATAACACCCAGACCCGGAACTCACACCCCATTCCATTGAACATATATTTATAATATATGACACCTTCTGCTAAGTTTACGGGGCGTTGATTATTGGAGTGAAGGGTTATTGGTCATCAAAGAAAGAGCAGCTGATGCTCAACCCAAAACCTAGAAAGGCCTCAATCCTTCTTACTTGGGTTTGGCTAATTGAAATTTTCTCCGGGTAAGATGTTTTACAATTTTCTATGTTTTTTAAAGTTGTGGATTGTGGTTTACTTCGTTTAACCTTAAGAATGGTTTACATATTTTTCCCTCAAGAATGTGGCTCTACATCTATGAAGCATGTTAATTCAATGATACTCGTGGTACTTTTGCAACTATATTTTTGGTGTAGATTTGAACTGGTTCTAGAGTTAAATGATTTTGAATTAGTTTGTGGGATAATTCATGATGGTCTTTTCTATGCTCTTTGACTTCACATATATTTATGCTATGTCTTCAAATATATTTCATTTTCCCCATCTGAGAGCTTTAGACTGTCTAAGTAATGGATCTTTTGCAGATGCTCATATCTAACAATATAATATCAAACATTATCAGTATTGTATATGTTTTTTTTACTCCTTTATTTATTGTTTTCATTGGCATATCAATGATTTTAAGCACAGCCCAATGTTCTTTGGTGTGTAATCAAATTTAGCCATATGCATAGTTCTGTGAAGTCTGATGGTGGTTCGAGAGGTATGTGGCTATAATTCGGGGTTCCATAAATTTGCACTCTTTGTGGCTGTTCTGCTCAGGATATAGCAATAATTTTTCAGTGTCTGACACAAATTCATGGGCTTTGAGGATCAATCATGTCTCAATACCAGCGCAATGGAACTGGCCTTGCGGAGAGGATCAGTTCTTCCCTTATTTCTTTGGTGTTTATTGGCCCCCAAAACAGCCCTAACATGTCTTTAGAACTCCGTAATATGAAGATCCAATTCCCAGCGGAGCAGAGCAGATCTGATTGTGACCTCATCTGATCAGATAATCGTGGAGCATATTTAACTTCTTAGGCAGAAACAGATCAGAGTTTGTGTTTCGTTGGCAGTAAGAGGGTCAAATTGTTATTTTTTTTCCTATGGTTATTCTACAATTTCATTGATATAGTTTTTGTGCACATTGTGTTACTGAATCATACAATGCATCGAAACTCGACTTTGTTTTATGGTGTCTTCAAATATATTTTGCAGTTTTTTTCCTGTTTGCTTTACCTGTAGCCTTCAACATGGTACGAGAAGTCTTGATATTAGCAAGTTTTTGTTGATTTCGTCGGTCCATTTCAATGGATGCGATTGTTTACCTTCTTTTGACATTTTCGTTAAGCTGATTGAATCAGATGGAATCTATCTTTTTTCCTTCTTTTTCCCCTTCTTGTTTTCCTTGCAAGGCCATGACTCCTGTGCTTATCACGTGTAAGAGAGAACAGTGCCAACAAGAGAGGAATCAGTGGACCAGTGCCAATTATCAAGAGGAGGAAGAGTCAAGCTTTCAAATTTCATGCATTCTGGTGAACATTTTATGTCTGAAACTTGCTTTTATTATCGTTATTTCTGGTTTGTCTGATAGCGTTGTCTAATGAAGTGTAGCTAACAGCGTTTTCTTTTTAATTTTCACTTTTTTACAATCCTACTGTCACCATTTTTTAACATTATCACATTTATCGGCCTTCTTCAAATGGTGGGATAAAATGTGGGGATGTACCATAATTTCACATGACATTCAAATACGCCATTGGTGGTACTACATATGGTATGTACGTTCTAACTGGATTGTAATTCTTGCCAGGTGACCCTCTACAATCTACATGCTGCGGATATTGCTATGTCATCTGAGTTTAGTCTTTCAGGCATTACATTGCGTTTCTATGGCTAATTATTGCAGGTTATTCTATCATTTTCCATCTTGAATTATTGATTGTCTTTGCCATTGCTCTTTCCCACCTCACTAAAGCCAAGAGGCTTTATACATGAAATTTGAAGAATAAGGTGCATGCCTTAAGCTTAATGGAAAGCTTGTCCTATTATGTCTTAGACACACATTTTGATACACTAAGTCGTTTTTACATGTTCAATATGCCCCTTGAACTTGCTGTGTACCGGGATCCTTGGGTCTATTACTGGTCATAAGATTGTCATTTCCTTCCTGCTTCCCGAAGAGGACACTTTTGAGTTTTGAGCATACACATATTCCACCTTTAGGTGTGCAGCCTTTCTCACCAACCATAGCTGAGAGTTCTACCTGTCGTGGTACAGGTGTTAATCGAGTTGAACTCGTAATTTATCTATTGGCAACAAGCTGGATACCTTATTCAAGTGCATTTGTTATTTTTCACTATGAAAAATAGTTATGTATTAGTTAATAAACTAATCAACAAATTTATCGAGTCGAGCAGATTATTCGGGCTCAACTTGAATATTAAACAAACTTAAAACAAGATGAGCCAACAGAGTTACTGTAGAACCATTATGCTCAAGTCTCTGTAGCCTCTAAGACTTGTATCCCCGTAGTACTTGTTGGCCTAAAATTATCATTAGGATTCATGAGCTTAGCTTATCCTATACTTGGTCAAGAAAAGCATAGCAATTTTAACTCTTTGTATTTGTTTGGCCTTCAATGTGGTTTCCGAAAATGCCATTAACTTTAAAACTTTTCTACTATACCCAAACAATAAATATGGGTACTGTACAAACAAATTTTGATACTAAATTGACATTTATCACGTATGACTATTTTTATAATTATTATGAGCATTTTTATCATTGTTATAGTACTGAAAAAATAATAAAAATAGTTACCATAATATTGGTAAAAATACTCATAAAAGTAGTAAAAATATCCACAAAAGCAGTAAATTATCTACAAAAGTGATAATTTTTTTTTATCAAAAAAAAAGTAGTAAAAATAATTACTAAAACAGTTATAAAAACATACATAAAAATAATAAAAATATTCACAAAAATAATAAATTACTCATAAAAGTGATAATTTTTTTTGTTGTAAAATAATCTATAAAAATTATAAAAACACATATTAAAGTGGTGAAATTTAAAAATATGGTACTAATTTTTTTTTTTTTATTTTTGGGTATAGTAGTCAAGTTCTTAACTTTATTCTCTAGGTGTAATGTCACCATCATCACTTGGTTAAATTCAAGTCACTTTGATGATGAAGTATAAGAGTAATTGTAGATGCTTTGGACAAAAATAGACGTAGTTGTACATTATGCTTGACTTTATCCCATTTATGCCTTCCATAAAGACCAATGACATATAAAACCTTGTTTTGTCAACAACTCTTAGCTTATCAAACAATACTTAACACAACTACTGGTCTTTGTCTAAATCCACCCATGGATCAGGGTCGGGCCTCTTCCTGTGCCTGATTGATGGCTTTCCACAACAACTAATGCATCGTGATGGTCATACAAAGTGAGTACATTGATATTACTTTCTTAATGGGCAAAACTGGAATCCGACCATCTTGAGAAGGAGAAGGCTGAGTTTATTCCTCTTTCTTATTCTCCTAGGTGGATTCGATCTTTTTCTTCCCGAGATGGTCAGGTTTCACTTTTGTCTCTCATACCTTTCTTAGTCAACGGCTACTAACAATTTTTGCGTACTTATTTTGAAAAAAAATTAGGGTTAATTGCGGTTGTAGTCTCCAAAGTATTCATTTTGTCTCATTTTGGTCCACAACCTTCTAATTGCATCAAATTGTTCCCTCATGTATTACATATGCACTTACCTAGTCCTCGCCGTTGACGCCATCCACAAAGCTGACGGTTCATAGTCATGTGCCGTCCGTATGACCCAGGTGAGGGTCTTTTATGACATTTATCCACCATTCCTTTCCTGGAGGGAAACATTCCCGCCAACTGGGTTATAAGTTATATCACCCACATTGTCACATTTAGCATACATGTCAACTAATGCCGTAATAATATATAACTGAGATTCAAAACCCAACTTTATCAAATAGCCATGCAACTGCTTTCTTTTTATAGTAACACCAACATCACTACAAGCATTGAGCACCCCCAACAAGAGTGAATTCACTAGGCCTCATCCCAGAAAAATGCATATCTGAGAACATTTTCAATGCTTTCTCATTATCGCCACTTTGTGCATACCCAGTGTTCATTGCAGACCACGTAATAGAGTTCTTCTCACTCGAAAGCTCAAACATTTGCAGCGCGTTATCTAAGCTTCCACACTTTGCATACAAGGTAACGACAACATTTCCAACTGATAACAACCCATTTTTCACAGCAAGACAATGAATTTGCTTACCAATATCAACAAATTCTGGCAAGGTAAAAGCACTAAGAACACTAGTTACCACAAACTCATTCAACTTCCTTTTTCTCCCACGTTATCATCCTAAAAACCTCCAAAGCATAACCAGCAAACCGATGCATAGCATACCCAAAAATCATCGTAGCCCAAGAAACCAAATTTCTCTCGGGCATTCTATCAAACACTTTACGTGCATCACACACGAGGTCACATTTGCAATACGTGTTAAACAAAGAAACTATTCACAAATACATCGGAACAACAAGCTGTTTTGATGGCAAGTGAATNACACAAGTTCACATTTGCAATACGTGTTAAACAAAGAAACTATTCACAAATACATCGGAACAACAAGCTGTTTTGATGGCAAGTGAATGAGCTTGCTGGCCACAAAACGGGTCCATCAAAATTGACGCCGCAGAAAAAAATCCGACGAAAGTGTGGGCATCGGGGAAAGNAAACGAGGTCACATTTGCAATACGTGTTAAACAAAGAAACTATTCATAAATACATCGGAACAACAAGCTGTTTTGATGGCAAGTGAATGAGCTTGCTGGCCACAAAACGGGTCCATCAAAATTGACGCCGCAGAAAAAAATCCGACGAAAGTGTGGGCATCGGGGAAAGTATTCTCTTTCCTCATAAGCTTGAACAATTTCATGACTGAGGATGAAGATTTGGGAGTCCCCAGCTGAGAGTAGCCATTGATGAGGCCGTTCCATGAGACTATGTCTTTAACTTCGATTTCTTCGAATACAAGGTGGGCTTCGGTTAAGTGGTGGGACTTGGCGTAGAAGTTGACGAGGCTATTGGAGATGTATATGCAAGNCCTCATAAGCTTGAACAATTTCATGACTGAGGATGAAGATTTGGGAGTCCCCAGCTGAGGGTAGCCATTGATGAGGCCGTTCCATGAGACTATGTCTTTAACTTCGATTTCTTCGAATACAAGGTGGGCTTCGGTTAAGTGGTGGGACTTGGTGTAGAAGTTGACGAGGCTATTGGAGATGTATATGCAAGACGAAGAGCCGGTCTTGATGATTTGGGCAAGGAGTGAGTTACTGTTTGGGAGGTTTTTCTGGTGGGTTTATTAGAGGAGTTTGGCAAAGAAGGAACGAGTGGCTAGTGTCATCAACTCTACGAGACCTTAGTTTCGAAGTTCATGAACGAGTCACAGCCAAAAACTTTCCATAGTTCAAACCTTGCAAGTAGAGGGGAGGAAACACATGAATTTAGGGGAATGTTTCCTATGCTCTGTAACACGAGGGACTAACTTGATGCGATTTAAGGTTGGAGACCAAAATGAAACAAAAAAAATACTTCAGAGATCGCAGTTGCAATTAACCCAAAAAATTACTAACCAAACATTATATGGCAGAAAAAGGCTAATACATTAAAGCAACGTAAGAAAGAACATCAAATTATGAACACTAAAGTTTTATGGAATTATTCCAATGAAGAGAACGTATAATTTGCCATTCAACTTAGATATATATATATATATATATATATATATATATATATATTATTTTTATAATATATCATTTGTCCCCTCTAAAACTAAAGACAAAAATGCTACGCCTACCAACTCCACCCAAAACAAAATTAAAAAACCAAGCTCACATAAAATAAAAAAAAAACTATGGGTCCATATTGTTAAAATCTGAGTATCAAACAAAAAATTAAAACTTAATCACGTTAAATTACGACTCAAATAGATTGAGTTGTGACTCAATAGAATTGAGTTATGATTGATCCCCAAAACTTGGGATAGATTCCAAATTGTTGAAATTTGGCATCGATCCAATTTTTTAATTGATTGAGTTGCCAGTTGATGATGGTGTATCATATCTTTTTAGTTTTTAATGAGTATGGTATGAGTTTTAGATTTTTCTCCAATTCTTGTAGTCAAATAGATAATGTTGAGTAGTATTGTAAAGACAAATAGAACAATGAGACACATTTTTTTTATTTTACTAAGACTTTCTCCAAATGACCTTAATGTTATTATTTATGAATTTTTGCAAGTAAAAGTTTCTTCAATTGACCTTCATTTAACTTCTTCTTTTTTTTTTTTCGAGAAATCACTACTATTTTTATTTATCTGTTAATTGATTTTAAATTTTTTTAAATGAATTGCTAAATTTTATTAAATGAATTGTTAAGTTTTATTTACAAATCGCTGCAAATAACCTTAATTTTATTAAATTTTTTTACTATGTTTAGCTCTTAAATTTTAGTTTAATAATTTTACTATGTTAATATATAAGTGTGTTTGGAACATCATTTATTGAATAAATTTAATGAATTGTTAGTGAATAACTGATATTTTTTAATTACAAAAATGACAATTAACTACATTTTTTTACGACGATGATAATTAGTCATTTTTTGTACCTCTACAATATGTATTATTTTTTGGCATTTTGTTTTTGTACATATAATAAATTTAAATATAATTATATTGTGTGATTGGTTGAAAAGAAAAAAATTGTAATGCATAATTAATGTGCTTATTCTAAACAAATTTTTTGTCTCTACCCCCGACTATAGTGGACAAACACTCTTCCACGGCCATGAAAACCTATATCCAGCAATTTAACACAGTAAAATCATTATATATATATATGTATTCAAATTATTGGAAAAATTACAAAAAAAAAGACATATAAAAAAACAGAATAATATCATAGTAAAATACCAAAAATATATTGCGGTTAATTTGCTAAGGAATCCGTGGGCAGCCCACACGTCCCTGTTTTGATCTCCCCAACTAGTTAAAAATGCAAAGAAATTTGGAAAAACGGAAGTGTGGAAGACTCTATTTCAAAAACACTATCGTTTTAAAGTTCTCTTTGTGTTTCTGAACATCTCTGAAGTTCTCAGATTCCATTCGTATTGCAATCTCACACACGAAACTTGACACATGTAAAGCGTGTGATCGAGATCATGTGTTTTAGACGGTGAACAAATGCCTTGAAAACAGTACTATTATTTTAATTCAACTATTAGATTTGGATAAATATTGAATGATTTTTGACATAAAAGTATTGCTATATTCGTCACTCCATGTTGTACACATATGACTAAATTTGTAGTAAAAACTAGCTTTTGTTGAATTACTTGTGTACACCATCGAGCGTTAGATCAATTGGTGAGGGATTGTT